AATGAGGATTTGTACCTTGAAGCTTAAGTAGGTCGAATCTCTTCTCAACAATGTCTGGTCTCTTGAATTTAAGAACCTGAGAGATAGAGAGAGAGGGAGGGAGAGGGAGAGAGAGAGAGAAGGCAAAATAATGACAATTAAAATGATGATAAATATTGTTATTACTCTATTAAGGCACTGGCTCTGTAGACTGCTCCTTGTGACGGTGAAATTAACAAAAGTGACTCTAGAGCAAAGATCAGGTGGGAATTCAACAGAAGGATCCCTCGTTGAAAGGAAAATGGTGAAAGAAGGTGACAAGTCAATCTCCTGATCTCCAAGAGTTATAAGAACTCGTCCTCCAGTCTTCTTTACTTCTCTATTGAGCACAGGGTTCAGGATTGGGTCGTAGCTCTCAACGTCCTAGAGGGATTGAGTATGAAATAATGAGAGTGTTTCCTGACAGGGTTCTTAGTTCTTACCTGCACCAGTAGCGGGTTACCAAAACAAAGAGCACTTTCTAGATTTTTACGGAAAGCATCATCAGGGAAACCAATAGGAGGCTAAAAAGATTAAAAAATAAATTACTTAAATTCATGAGAGAAAGGGAGAGATCCCTTACCTTGTTTTGGTAATCTTTTTGTCTTTGTACTCATTCATAATAAATTCATATTCTTCTTTATATCTAGTGTAAGTAGAAAAAATTAAAAATAAAAGTTTCACTTTTAATGTATTTTGTTTTGTTCTTTACTTTGCTATAGAGGCTTCAAGTTCTGCTATTTTTTTTGTTATTTCTTCTCCTTTTTGACGAGTGTCCTCAGCTTTGGTTTCCAAATCTTTCAATTCTTTACGTAACGGATCAACTCTCTTCAACATATCAGCATAACTCAACTATAGGAGAGAGAGAAAAGGATACAATATTATCAATAGGGTGCACAATAAGTACAAAAATATAAATAATTACACCTCAAGTTCACTTTTAATTGTATGCATTAATTTAGTTTATTTAGTTAATTTAGTGTATCCATTAATTTAATTAATTCAGGCTATATTTAAAATTTTTCCACAGCAAGCAATTCATGAACTGGCTTTAGAGCAATTAAAAAAATTCATAAAATATCAAATCTTGATTGAAATCAGCTCAGACTTTATACATCACATAAGTTCATGTATGTGCATTGGAAAATGTTATAAAAATTGGGAATTTTCTACCTGACATTTTTGGCGAAATTTGGCCAACACCCCTGATAGTACAGGGACTTTGACCCAATTTTTGAGCAACTTCAAAAATTCATAAAAAATCTAAAATTACATTCATGACATTTGTACCTTGTTTCAGTCCAGGGTCTTGTAATGGTATCCACTCAAACTAGGCGTGCATAAGCATCTTGATTTACCTACGTAGGCCTGACAGAACGGTTGCTCCCTGGTGTCCACTCTCATGGTGTGTTCTAGTTTCTTCACCAGCTCATTCAAGTATAAATCATCACTGGGTCTGTTCTTCACTCCAGCCTGATTACTGGGAGAGAACTCAACTGCTGTAGCCAGGATCATCAGCACTCCTGTGTATCAGTACATTTGTCATTATCATTTATTAATTCATTCTCACTTAGTACAGGCATTGTCTTAGCTCTGGACAGCAAGTGGAAGTACAGTTTACTCGTCTGTATCAATATATTAGTGCTACCATACTTTACTGATTTATACCACCAACTACCCTGAGGGGGCGCATAACTGTAACCATGACAACACTAATGATAACTTACAACAATGATAAGGAGTCTAATAATAAATACCAACACATACACACCTAAAACCTATTAGTAACTATTAATAACTAGTAATTAACAGTGACCACACCCACTCATAACAAGTTATTCTTATCAACAATCCAAGAGGGCAGTGCTATACCAAATGAAGCAGCCCTTGGTCCATCGGGGTTACCATACTTCTCCCGATTCTCCCTAGCCTCCTCTTGAGTCAAACTACATCAAACAATTACATGTACATGTATATACACTGGTTACTGTATTAACTGCTTTTATATATCCATGTACGCATATCATGATAGTCTCTTTATTGAGGGACTTACGCTTCATAAGCTTTAGCTATTTTAGTGAATACCTCTGGGTCCCTTCCTTTATCAGGATGATGGGTCATACTTAATAACCTGTACTGCTTCTTGATCTGAGACACAGTAGCTCCCTAAAAAACTGATCCATTAAACACAGCTGGATATTATGATACCCTGTCAATCCCTAGTGTTTTAAATGGATCCCATTCTTCAGATTCACCAACTGGTTCTTGTGTCACTGCCCAATAAATCAACCAAAACAAGAACAACCAGCACACCAATAATACTAAATAACTAACAAACCAACAAACAAGAGACCAACTGATAATTATAGACAATCATTACAGTACATGACCAATACTAATGCAATATTGTATAGCGGAAAATTTTCGTGGCCCAAAATTTTACAAATCATTTTGAAAAAACAACTTTGCCACTTTAATTTTTACGGATTTCTACTTTTCAGCCATTTTAAACCGTATTGTATCAATTTTCGCAGATTTTGTCTATGAATTTTGAAAAAAAGCAAAATCCACGCAACATTTGGGCCACAAAATTTTTTGCTATACTACCTGTAATTGATATAAATGACATCATTAATATTTACCATATTATTTTTAATAGTTTATCTATAGTCCGTCTCTTCTCCACTTTATTTCTTTTCTGACAACATGGCCCACACTGACACCGGGCTCAGGCTCACTCTGTCATCTCCTAAAAATGACATTAATAATTATTCTAATTAAAGCCCACAATACACATGTACTACATGTAATTCAATTCACTTTTCTTGCTCTTAGGCCAAAGGAAGCAAGTTATAACTAGTAGGAATGCAGTTCCCTCGTCAATGGGTGTGTCAATAGTGAATGTCTAGTCTACGTCTGATGATGACACTTAGGACACGTGTATACACGTGATTAGTGTAGACGCACCCCTATATGATTATACTCTATGGGTGTGTCAATATTGAATGTCTGAATGACACTTAGGACACGTATACACGTGGTTGCCCCTATTAATGATTATTGTTAGACACGCCCTATCACTTTTAGACGCACTGCTGATCAAGCTGCTGCTGCTGCTGTTGCTTCTCCTGCTAGGCTAACTGTTTTGTTTGTCACTTTTCAATAAACGTCTTGATAGTGCACTAACCATGGCTACTCGTAGAATTCCAGTAAGTATATGTAATATCAGTAGAGGATATGATTAATGTATTGTAGAGTACATTGTGTCAGTGTTAGTGAAGATAATGTAATGTGTACTGTTGATGAGTGTTTGATCTGGAGCGGGATCATACCCTCAGCCTATACAGTCTCTCCTTTATATAATACCCACTATACACTGCTGTATAGCCAGTAATTTTTGTGGGTTGCAAATTTTGCGGATTCCTTCTGAACATGATAAAATCCTCAAAAAACCTGCATGACACATGTGGTAGAATTTATAATATTTAAATCCGAGAAGTTGAAATTTTAGGAGATTTCGCGAAATACGTATAGACCCACGAAAATTACCAGCATGTTATTATCATTTGTGGGGAAGGTATAAGGTCAGGGGGATACAGGGAAAGGGAGGAGTCCCACCTTTACTTTATAAGTTACCCTAAGCATACAGGACTGGCCAGCAATAAGTTGACATGATTTGTGTTTAGATTGAGTTTGAGTTTTTTATAGTTTCCATATGGTTTACTGTTTCCATAGACACATACATTTGTACTTGTACTAGTTGTAAACTGATATCATTCCTGCTCAAATGTTACCACAATCTCAGGCAAACATAACTTGTTTAAATTCAAAACTTCATGTGGTGGCTTATCTACATGTACACTGTACATGTAATATCACGTTTTTATTGGATTCACCAATCAAGTTACTCTAGTTCAGGGATCATAGGTTTGTCAATTTACATGTATTGCTGACCAGTGCTGTACCTGGTGTCAGGGACATGTATCATGGTTTCCAATAATACATGCAGAGTTAATATTTCCTCTTGTACCTTATGATAACATACAGTGTGTTACCAGAGCTAGTGTTACTGTATATCAGGCAGAGTTTCTTGTAGTTCTTTTCATTCTCATTCCTTCTGGAATGAATATTCTCCAAATGAAAAAAGACATTCCTCAATGTTACGTGTACAAAATGACAGCTCAGAACTTAAATTAAGCAAAACTAATCTAAAATAAATAAAGAATGGTCCCAATAAAATATCCCAGTGTAGAGTATTGTGTGTGGTAATAATAATTCATTGATATTATAATGATATTCATATATTCCTTAGAGAGAAGGGTGGAGTCAATGAACAGTGTTCATGATTTCAATTACTGTATAGCAGGAAATTGTCTTTGAGTGATAATTTGCCTTTGTTTCGTTGGCCAAAATTTTGAAAGAAAATTTTAGACAATGAAAATTTAATCTAACTAATTAAAAATTTGACCCACGACAGATCCCATACATAAATGCCAAGGTTGTAGAAAGGTTGGCACAACCTTGCTACAACATTGCAAATAACATTGCCACCAGGTTGACACTACCTTGTAACAAGATTGCCACAAGGTAGTGACAAGCTATTTAGAACTTGGGATTTGAAACTGTTTCAAGCTTGTCACCAGGTAGTAAGAAGTTGTCACCAGGTAGTAAGAAGTTGTCACCAGACAGTAAGAGGTTGTAACAAGTTTGTTACACCCTGGTAGCTGCATGTACCAAAATAGTTATAATTATTATTTTCATAGATTGAATAAATGAGGATATAAAGTAAGTCAATATGAATGAGTTAATTTTGCTTTCTTTCTTTTCTCCTGCAGTTTGCACACTTATCATTAATGGCGTCTACCAGTGTAGTCTTTGGCACATCATACTTTAACTGGACATATTCTAGTCATTTTAATGAAAGAGTAAGTTACTATAATAGAATGAGGTTGTTTATACTTACTGATGCAGGCTCCCAGAATATCTTTATCAAGAGGATCGTTCAAGCGAGAACCATAGCAACTAGATTTCGCTAGCACTTCACGAGTAAAGAAGGCAGACATTAAGTTTCTGATCAGTCTCGTGGGTGACTGATTACTTTCCCCTTCCACATCATCAAGCTGTCTCTGGGTTAGCATCACTCCATATCCAGGCACTAACTCTATTAACTGTGGTTCTCTCTAAACAAAATTTACTAGTATAACTTACAATGTTCAGTCTTTAACGTATTTATACCTTAATTACTGAAATATTGCTTTTATTAGTTGTACTTAACTTCCGTACACCTTCAACTGGCTTTTTCCTACTTGTGGGAGTTATGTTAAAACTAGGAGGAGTCACACCAGAGCTGCAACGAGTCTCATTTGAACTGCCTGGAGTTACCTGATACTTGCAAATTAAACTTTAATTACAAAAATGATCCTAACTTTAATCTTGCCAGATCCAGATAGCTTTACAAAAGAACTGTTAGGGGGTGGTGTCTATTAGTATGAGAATATATGACATAAATAAATTTAGATTCACTGTACCTTCTTCATTTCAGTGCCAAAATCAGCCTATAAAATAAATATCATGTCACTGAATTAGTATGCACCACTATATTTACCTTCTCTTTACTCCAAGGCTTTTCTGTGAAGAGATCTTCATCATAATAATCATCATCGATTGGCTATTAATTATGCCATTACACTCAATAACACATACACATTAATTATTACAAACCTGTGGAGATGATTCATTCGATATGTCAACTGAACGCTATGAAAACACATGCACATAAAAACAAAAATTAATAAAGCCTTACATCCATACAAAAAGTGTTGTTTTGAAGTGATTGGAATTTAGAATTCGATACAACATTTCTGGTAACCATCACAGCTGCTACAAAAATTATAATAAATACTATATTATTTCACTAAAATTAATTTTTAATTATCATTAATAGTTGAAACTAAGAATGCTTAATTCGTAACATGTTAAGCTAATTTAAAATATCATATTGGTGCAACAAAACCATAATTATTAGTCACTTACACTTTTCACTTAGTTCTTTCTGTAACTGACATATTAGTTGCTGTTGTTGTTGCAGCTGTTCCTTCATTGTTAAAACTTCATCTGTGGCCAGGGGGTCCTGTCTGGAGGGCACTGCAACTTTTTCATCATTACTACACGTAGCAGGAGACATTGCCTTGAATATTTCCGATGCTCGGGATTTAGCTGCCATTGCTCCAACAAGTTGTGTGTTCTTTTTACTACGTGCTTCTGGTTCTAACTTTCGTTTCTTCTTAACGGGAGCCGACTTCTCAGTTACTGTAGTGGAATCCACCTCTAATTCGTGGCTCTCTAATAATTCTTCCTTTGTAACTTCTAAATTAATCAATTGGTCACACCATTTATTTAGTGACTGACGATCATCTAGAGAAAAATATTATGAACACACTGTATGAGCAAGCAATACACACATCAATCAACCTACTAGAAATACGCAAAATTTCTGCCTCGTAATACTTCCCCCTCGTCCACTTAACATCAATATAAGCACCAACATACGGCTTGACTCCTGTCTTAGCTGCCGAGACGGGCATTACGCCTACCTTCTCATCCTCCAACCATCTCACCAGCATAAAAGATTTAGCTGTCTCGGCCATCTTTGGAGGCATCACTGTGGCGGCGGCGGCTACTTGCCAGTCGATTGACAGTCCTCGAATTAGTAGTAACTGAGTAAATAAGTAAGAAGTGAGAACTGAGGTGAGTGAGAAGACACCCGAATAAAATAAAGCAAGCAGAACTCGAATCAGAACCATAAAATCTATGTGAGAACTCAGTACCTCATCCTCAGGCCTCGTGGCAGATTTATGAATCACGTGAGTCTCACGTGCCAACAGACCGTGGGTGTGTTTAATGGGCGGTACCTGCCCAAATGTGGGCCACACCTACCTTGCACGTTGATCCTGTACGGTACAGTTAAAATGTCAATGAAATCAGTTTACAACGAAAGATTTTCTTACAGTAACCCCAACTTATCTGCTAGCAGATCAACAAAGTATAGGGCCAAGAAGAGAAGAAAAAACCAACCTGAGCCTGAGGGCTGTGACTCGTCGTCGGATGATGATTTTGTTGTTAACTGCCACCCCATGGACGATCACCCATTATCGATCGAGGCAGAGTTTTTTCAAACGTCACTAGATGATACATCTGATCACAGATCTGATAGTGAGCATGACAATCAATGTGATGAAGTGACTGAATGTCTAGATGATGAGACTAGCACGGAGGGTGTGACGGTCTGGCCACAAGTGACTATTGAGCAATCGGAACAATCTACTGAAGAACTAGTGCTGACTCCACTCTATGATGGTTCAAACCTGACTGCTCAGGCCAGTGGCGTTTTATTGATGAAACTGAAAATGAGGCATAAATTAACTGATGAAACAATGACAGATGTGCTTCGTCTTATTAAGCTTCACTGCCCAGTGCCTAATAATTGCATCTCTTCACTCTATCATTTCAAAAAGCAGTTTTGTCATATGCAGTACCCTATAGTTGTCTCCCATTTCTGCAGTAGTTGCCTTAATGTGCTGACACCCAATGATATTAATGATCGAAAGAGCTGCCCTAATCCTCTCTGCCTTAGTGCACTTTCAACTCATGATTCAATATCATCATTCATTGATATTCCAATCGATTTACAGCTGAAGTCTATTTTGGAACGTAAGTCTAAAACAATTACTCTTTGATTTTTGCTATTATTAGGTGATGGCATAATGACTATTCTTAGCCAGTTCAAGCGACAAAGAAGTGATAAAGAATATTACAGTGATATATGCGATGGCTCTGTATATCAACAAGCTTTGACTGGTTTTCTTGCCCATGATAAGAATATTTCTCTGATATTTAATACCGATGGTATTCCTGTATTTCGATCATCTGGTTTTTCATTTTGGCCACTCTATCTTTTAATAAATGAGTTGCCGTATCGACTTAGGTAAGTGTTAAATGCACTTATATATTTTTGATTAATTTTGTGGAATTGTAGAGCAGTTAAAGAGAATCGTATACTGGCTGGCTTGTGGTATGGATCAAAGAAACCTGATATGACCATTTTCTTGAAGCCTATGTCTCAATCTTTAAAGAAACTGTATGAAGAAGGTTAGTGTGTATGCAATTTTATATCCATTATGTTCTTATAGGGGTTGATGTAAAGATCAAAGACTCTTGTGACACTTTTCGAGCTTTTTTACTGTGTTCCACTTGTGACTTACCAGCAAAGGCCATGATGCTTAATTTTGTTCAATTCAATGGATTTTATGGATGTTCTCGATGTTTACAGAAAGGTTAGCATGTTTAAAGTGCATGCAATTACATATCATTTTAGGTGAGACATTTCACATTGGGCACAGGAGCTTTACTCATATCTATCCTTATGATGAAGCTGATCCATCAGGTCCATTAAGAACACACAAGGAAACTTGCAGGCATATGACAGATGCAAGCTCAACAGAAAATACAGTAAGATACATGTACATATGCATCAATGAAGTATCAAAACCTGTGTATATACTACTAAAATACATGTATCTATTCTTAATGACATGTATGTGTACATGTAGGTATTTGGAGTGAAAGGGCCTTCCTGGCTATGTACTCTTCCTGACTATGACATTATTAAAGGTACATCGATAGACTATATGCACTGTGTTCTGCTTGGAGTGTGCCGACAGCTTCTTCGCTTATGGCTCGAGCCTGTTAATCGCGACAATTTGTGGTACGTTGGACTGCAAATTACAAAGATTGATGAAAGACTATGTGTCATTAAGCCTCCATCTGAAATCCAGAGAACCCCACGTAGCATAGTTTTAACAAGAAAATTTTGGAAAGGTGAGACAAGACAATACCATAATATGTGGTTGACTTTAGATCAATTTATTTTTAAAATTTTACAGTTTATGTGTATGTGCTACTTACTTACCGTATAGCAGGAAATTTTGGTTGGAGTTAAATTTGGTGAATTGCTAAAATTTAGTGATTGGCGAATTTTAATTTGGCAAATTAGTAGCCACATGTCATTGAGTATGTGTATAATGGCTCAAAATGGCTGATTTTATTTTGGTGAATGGCTATCAAAATGCCTAATTCGCCAAATTCAATTCCCTCCAAAATTTCCCACTATACAGTAATTTAAAACTATTCTTAAATTTATAGCACATGAACTTCGAGCCTGGCTCCTACACTACTCTTCTGTTGTATTATATGGAATACTTCATGATATTTATTATCAGCATCACTTACTTTTAGTGGAAGGAATTTATCTTCTTCTAAAACAACACGTTAAACCAGATGATATTAAAACGAGTTCAATGTTGCTGAAGCACTACTGCTTTTTGTTTGAGAAACTATATGGTAAGTTTTTACAAATGACCTATTTCAAAAAATTACTGTATGTATGGCATTTATAGGCCAACGGCACATGACAATTAATGTTCACAATTTACTACATCTTCCTGAGACAGTGGAATGTTTGGGACCTCTCTGGGCTCATTCCTGTTTTTGCTTTGAAGCTGCTAATGGCGAACTGTTAAATTTGTTTCATGGAACCCAAGCTGTTGAAAAACAAGTAATTGTATAAAAATTCAACAGTTAATATATGTGTGTGTGTGTATTGGTCAGGTTATTAGCCACATTGCTATAATACACCAACTACCAGTTTTCGCTCAATCAATAATATTTCCTGATAGTGAGTCAGTTGAGACGTATTGGCATAGGGACAATTCAAGAAAGCCTCCAAGGTTTGTTACATTTACAATGACCCTTCTGCCATTATTTTATTTTTACCCATGGTAGATGCATTTGGCTCTTTTTGTCTTATTTCTTATGCACACATTTTAAAATTATTGGTACAGATAATATGGATAATTGTGTGGGCCATGCTTATGGCAACATTTAGGATTATGCATGATTGTTGTATGAGCTCATAGAAGCAACAGTATTATTTTCAGAAACTAAGCACCATTTTGCTTTAATTTTAATTGATTGCTAAAACTACACCTTATAATTTTGAATGCTTTTTAAAGGACTCTCTTACTGTATAGCTTGAAATTTTTGTGGTTGTGGGGCTTCTCACAAAATTTAAACCCAAGAAATCATTGAAGTGCCGTCTCCTTACACGCTATGTAAACTGTCAACCACAAAATTTAAACTGCCAATTGCCCCACTAGGAACAAACCGCGAAAATATAGACCCACGAAAATTTCAAGCTATACAGTACTTCATATTGCTTGTTTTTCTCAAAACTGGTCACATACATACATTATTTTAGGATTGGTGAGGAATCAGATGGTGAAGAAATTGAACTCAAGGGAAAACCACGGAGTGGTACATTATCTCCGTTTGAAGTGTCACTCTTTGATGGTGTTGTAGCTGGGACAGATGTCATGTTTTACCCTACATTGGTATTATCTAATAGCATTTCAGTCACTGCCAAGTCAATGTCACAATCAAGAAAACGTGACAATTCTGTCATATGTTATCACAGTGATTGCTATGGTATTGTAGAGAAGATATTTCGATTTCAGAGTAACAGTACTCCTCATTGTCTCATAACACCTTTAGTCCCCACTGTATCAATATGTACTGATGATGTCACTGATGCGAATATCAGTAGTCATTTGGTAGCATGTAAACCTCCAAGGTAAATTTTCAATCAATATTAATGATATATAATTTTATTTTAGTTCTGATAATAAAGTCATTATATTTGCTACATTGGTGCAAGAAAAGTGTGTATATATGGACGTCACAGAACAGTTAAACTTGGTTTTTGTAAGTAGACTACCTAATACAATGGAAATTGATTAATATTGTTTTTAATAATTATTTTTTAAAATGAACTTACTTGAAATTATACGTGATTGCTAGGCTATTCCTGTCATCATAATAGCTGCTGAAGCATGTACCTATATGTCAAAAGTAGAAATAATTCATGACATATGCACACAACCTTGCAACAACTTTATTACCTTCAAACAACCATATTACATAATTGTCAGGAGGCTGTCATAATCAGTTACAATCTCAAGGAATGGGGCAAACAAGGTAAACTCAATGTCATGACAACCTTGTCACATTTTGGATGGTTGTGACAAGATTGTATCAAGGTGGTCACAACCTGTAACAAGGTGGTCACAACCTTGGTATTTTCGTATGGGGAGAGAGGACCAATGATACAACAGGAGAGTAGGAGACAATAGTAC